CGGCTGGAATGCTAACTGATCTTGCTGCCTTGGTCTTGTGCAGGTAACCAAAGTTACAGCATCTTGAGTGTTGTGGCCATGGCACAGCCAGAGCACAGCATCTCCCAGCACTGTCGTCCTCCTCTCTGGCTGTGGAATTCTTTTCTCTCCCTCTTCCTTCCATAATGTCCCTGAGCCTTGGGATAGGGTGAGTGTGCCTTGGGGTATGGTAGGGGTGCCTTGGAGTAGGATGGGTGTATTTTAAGGTAGGATGGGGTGCCTTGGGATAGGGTGTGGTGCCTTGGGGTAGGATGGGGTGCCTTGGGGTAGGATGGGGTGCCTTGGGATAGGATAGCGGTGCCTTGTTGTACGGTGAGGGTGCTTTGGGGTAGTGTGTGTTCTTTGTGGTATGGTGGAGGTTTGGTACAGATATCCCCTTTAGGACTGATCACTCAATAATCACTTTTTCTCAGCACTAAAACCACAGCAGAGGGAAGCTGCTCCAACCTAGGCTGTGGACATAATATTTAGAGGGCAGTTTGACAACACGGCCAGTAAGTTGACAACACCGTACATGGAAATACTCTTGGTGCTGTGCCGTTCTCCAGATTCAGAAACAGAATATGGTCTATACTGATGATCTCATTCTCCGATGTCACCTTCCCGCTTTCCACCATCCCTTGGTGACAACCTCTACCTGGTATTTTCTATCTGCTGACCTTAAGGTTTGTCACATACACACACATGGGTTTGCTAAGGTGTATTGCTTAGTGTCTCTATTTCTGGTTGTTATATAGACAGAGTTATCCTTTGTTTTTCCTGTGGAGCCCTGGTGTAGAACTCCCAATATAGATCAAGTTGGTCTCTAACTTGCAGAGATTCACCTGCACCATCATGCCTGGGCCAGTGTCACACTCTTTTCCTTCAGGGTTCAGGAGTAAAGCTTGACATGCAAGACAAACACTTGGCCACAAAGATGCACCCCAGCCCCTTCCTCTGTCTGTCTGTCTGTCTGTCTGTCTGTCTGTCTGTCTGTCTGTCTCTGTGTGTCTGTCTCCATATGTCTCTCCATTTTTCTTCTTTCCTTCCTTCTTCCTTTTCTTTCATTAATGGGGTCTCAGTACATAGCCAAGGCTAGTTACCAACTCCTCATCCTCCTGCCTCAGCCTCCCTAGTTCTGGGATTAGAGGCACGTGCTACCATGCCCGGTATGCATGCTTCATTTCTAAGTCTTTGGTTTTTACCATTTGACACTGGCCTGTGAGGTTCCTGCACACGGATGTGTTGGCCCTGTAACATGTATCTTTTTGTGTTGCCCTCTGGCTGGCTATGTTAGCCATATGTTACATAGTTTCCCTTCTGTGGATAAACACTTTAGAGCCTCGTTTTCCTTTCCTTCTGCCTCCTTTCCTCCTCCTCCTCCTCTTTCCACCCTCCCCCATCCTGTGTTTGTGATGAAACAGAACACAAGATGATCTTTTGACATATTCTCTCTATGTAGTCCTAATGGCTATCCTGGAACTCACAGAATCCACCTGCCTCTGCTTCCCTAGTTCTGGCAATAAAGGGTGCGCCACCATGCCTGGCATGGAGACATTTCTCGGTTGAGGTTCCCTCCTGTCAGATGAGTCTAGCTTGGGTCGAGTTGACATAAAATCTAGCCAGCACAGTGCATCAAATGCACCTTTTGGATAACTTTCCCAGCTATGGACAAGGACTATAACCTCAATTATTTGTGAAACTTTGGAAATACCCTTATAAGAGTTGGTGAGATGGATCAGCTTCACTGTGAAAGTCTGGCCACCTGAGTCCAATACCCAAAATTCTGGTGAAAGGAGAGAATCAACTGCAAGACGTTGTCCTCTGGCTTCTACATGCAAGCTGTGCTATACACCCACACTCATAAACACATCGGACACACACATACACAAGAAATAAAGTCTAAAATAAATAATAAAATGTACTTTCTTCTTGGAAACCTGTTCATATGTTTGTTAAATTTGATTTTGGAATAGCATGTTTTTATTCCAAGATTTTTAAAAAAGGTTTATTTTAATTATTTGTGTGTGGCGCGCGCGCACACACACACACACACACACACACACACACACAAAAACACGCGCGCGCGCGCACACACACACACACACACACACACACACACACACACACAAAACCATGCTCGTGTGAGTGCAGTACTCATGGATGACAGAAGAGGGCGCTGGCTCCCTGAGTTACCGGTGGTTGTGAGCTGCATGTTGTAGGTGTTGGGAACCAAACTTGGGTCCTTTGAAAGAGCAGTATGTGTGCAATCACTGAGCTGTCTCTTCAGTCACTGTTTTTTTTTTTTATTTTTAATTATACATATGTGTGTATGACCAGGTGTGGGTACATGCATTTGAGTGCAGTTGTCCATGAAGGTCAGAGATACCTGTTACTTAATTAGCCACCTCTCTAACTCCTTGTGTTTATTTAATTATTGCATTTTTGTTATTTTTAATTTTGTGTCCATATAAGATGAGAGCATCAGATATCCCTAGAGTTACAGGTGATTGTGAGCCACCTGATGTGGGTGCTGGGAATAGAACTTGGGTCCTCTGGAAGAACAGCAAGTAATCTTAACCACTGAGCCATCTCTGCAACCCTGATTTTTATTTTAAATGGTGTCTTTAGAATGGAGATGTGGCTTAATGGTAGTGTGCTGGCCTACCATGGGTAAAACCCTGGTTAAATCCCCAGTACCACACACACACACAGATTATTATTAAGTGGTATTTTGTGGGTCTGTGTGGGTGTGGTAGTTTTGTGTGTGTGTGGTTGTGTGTGGGCTGGGCACAACCAGCCCACACGTGTGGAAGCCAGAGGAGGGTCTGAGGCACCCTGCTTTCTCTCCCACCCCCTCTCTTTCTCTTTCTGCTTGACTGGCCAGCAAGCCCCAGTGGCCCACTTGTCTCCATGTCCACACCATTGTGAGGGGCTACAGTTGTGCACTGCCATGCCTAACTTCTATGTGCTGGGGGTCCAAACTCAGCCTCATGCTTTCCCAGAAATAGTTACCCAGTGATCCATCTCTCTAACCCTAAATGGTATCTTTTTAAATTAGTTCAAATTAGAAACAAGCCTGCCTCACATGTCAATCCCTTCTCCCTCTCCCTCCCCTCCTTCTCCACCCTCTACCAGCTCCCCACCCCATCCCCCCTCTGCTCCCCAGGGAGGGTAAGTCCCTCCATGGGGGATCCCCAAAGTCTGTCATATCATCCTGGGCAGGGCCAAGGCCCTCCCCCATGTGTCCAGGCTGAGAGCGCATCCCTCCACAAGGAATGGGCTCCCAAAGTCCTTTCTTATGCCAGGGATAAATACTGATCTACTCCCAGAGGCCCCATAGAGTGCCAAGGCCTCCTCATTGACATCCACATTTAGGGGTCTGGATCAGTCCCGTGCTGGCCTCCTCAACATCAGTCTGGGGTCCATGTGCTCCCCCTTGTTCAAGTCAGCTGTATCTGTCAGTTTCACCAGCCTGGTCTTGACCTCAATATATTAAAAATAACAATCTTGCCAAAAGCAATCTACAGATTCAACTCAATCCCCATCAAAATCACAGCACAGTTCTTCACAGACCCTGAAAGAAAAATACTCAACTTTATATGGAAAAACAAAAAACCCAGGATAGCCAAAACAACCCTGTACAACAAAGGAACTTCTGGAGACATCACCACCCCAGACTTCAAGCTCTATTATAGAGCCATAGTCCTGAAAACAGCTTGGTATTGGCACAAAAGTAGACAGGTAGACCAATGGAATCAAATTGAAAACCCTGATATTAACCCACACACCTACGAATACCTGATTTTTGACAAAGAAGCCAAATTTATGCCATGGAAAAAAGAAAGCATCTTCAACAAATGGTGCTGGCATAACTGGATTCAGACATGTAGAAGATTGCAGATAGATCATGTCTATCACCAAGCACAAAACTTAAGTCCGAATGGATCAAAGACCTCAACATAAATCCAGCCACATTGAACCTCTTAGAAGAGAAAGTGGGAGATACCCTTGAATGAATCGGTACAGGAGACTGCTTCCTGAACACAACACCAGTAGCACAGACATTGAGATCAACAATTAATAAATGGATCTTTTAATTGATTTGGAGTTATTCGCTGCAAGTATGTAGATCTTTGTTCGCTCAATTGTTTATCTAGGTACTTTCATATATATGACAACTTTTCTAAAATCTTATAAATTTCTTTTCATTCTTATATGTAGACATTTCAATTATAACAAATTTTGTTTTCTTTCCAATTATTTTGTCTTTTTGGTGTATTAGTTAGTGTTCTATTGCTGTGATAAGGACCAAGACAAATTATAGAAGGGAGGATTTATTTGGGCTATGGTCCCAGTGGGATTGGAGTCCATCATGGGAGGGAACTGTGACAACGGGCAGCGGACACGGGACAGCTGAGAGCTCATATCTTGAACCACAAGTAGAACTTAGAGAGTGTATTGGGAATAGCATGAGGCTTTGAATCCTCAAAGTGGGGTACTTCATCCAGCAAGACTGCACCTCCTAAACCTATGCAAACAGCACCAGCAACTGAGGATAAGTATTCAATGTTAGGTGTGCTGAGCACAGCCCACAACACATGAGCTGGGAACTTAGCTCATCATTACAGCATAGATCATTTCTCGATCTAATACCCAGAATGCTCTACCCTTAACCCAAGACTAGACATCCCCACAACTGGTCTACAGGCTTGTCCCCCTTGCCTCTGCTTGCCCTGCACAGTTCCCTAGCCTCCTCCCTTCTACTGAGTGACCAGCTCTGCAAGAACTAATGCCTCTTGTGCTGAGTAATTGGCAGCAGGAAATGCCCACTCTATAAAAGGAAGCAGATGAGTAAGACACTCACAGGCAACCTGGACAACAGAAGGGGTCAGCTGGGCTCTCCCGGGCTTTGGAATCCAGCTGGGATTTGGATTTGCTGCTGGCTGAGGGTCAAGGGTGTAGAGAGGGAAGGCGAGACCATGTGGTGGCTGTCCCCAGCTCTGCTTCTTCTCGGTTTCCCAGGTATGTTCAGCTAGGGTCTGGAGGCTTGGGGCTGCAGGTGCAGAGCAGGAGGCAGAGGTCTCTGTCCTGGGTTTGAGGAGAGCTGCTGCCTTCAGGGAAATGAAGCTCTGCAGTTTCATTCAGCAAGAAGACCCTCGGTTCTTTATCACGCCAGGCATGTGTTGGACCTGGGAACGTGAAGGGAAAGGGGAAATGGGGATGGCCATTAAAGAGATCCAAGATGCTCTGATGGGTGGCACGTGCTTTAGAATAAGAATTAACAGCAGGAATAAGCACGACAGAAGAGGAGGGAGGGAGGTGCTAGCCCGAGGGGCTAGAGAAAGCCCCTCGTGGATCTGCTCCTTCCATGTCCCAGAAGGAGGCAGATCTTCACAGCCCTTGCAGCAAGCAGAACAGGCACTCCACTGATAAAGCATGGCTTGGGGAAAGGGCCACAGGCTTGAGAGGATGGTACACCCACACAGAGGGAGCACTCAGTAGGTAGGATACTGAGGGGGACACTGTCTAAATGTGAGTTTGGAAATGCAAAAGGTAAAATGATGACTGGCAGTTGTAGATGCCTGCATGACCTAGCTTGCATTTGAGTTCTAGGCCCCCAGCCGCCAGCTCTCTAAATCTCAGCACCGGCTTTCCTAGAGGCCAAGCAGGACAGCAGTAAGCTGTGCATGGCTTGCACACTTGCTCGTGCGCACGCACGCACGCGCGTGCGCGCACACACACACACACACACACACACACACACACACACACGCCAACCTTCACTAGAACACACAAAGGCACACATCTACACACAGTCACACACCACGGTCATCTGCTCACCCACACTCACACTCTTCAGATGCCACACACTGAGACTGCTCACAGAAGGGATTTTTATTGTAATTTTATTATGTGTAGGGGTGTTCTGCCTGAGTGTCTGTAAGCCCATCATGTGAGTACCTGGTGCCTGTAGAAACCAGAAAGAAGTTACTCCTCCCCTGGAACAGGAGTTATGGACGGTTGCAAATTACCATATTGGAGCTCAGAATGGAGCCTGGGTTCTCCGGTAGAGCAGCCAGTGCTCTTCACCACTGAACCATCTCTCTAGCCCTCCACTCAGCCCCCTTTTGTGATACAGGGTCTCATTGTGTGGCCCTGACTGACCTAGAACTCGCTCTGTAGACCAGGCTGACTTCAAACTCACAGAGATCCTCCTGCCTCTGCCACCGCATGCTGGGGTTAAAGGCGTGCGCCACTATACCTACCTTGTTAGGTAACTTTAAAAAATACTCTAATAATGACTTGCTTTGGACATCTCTCCTGTCACTGTTGGGATGTTGCTCTTTACTTTATAACTATGCTATTGCTGTAACCAAACTTCCCAGTCTAATTCCCTATTAATGCCCTTTGAGTTTTCTGGGTGTTTACTGTTACATCAGTAGTGAGGCGACTGCCCCACACTCCACTGTCTGTAATCATCCTACAGCTAGAATGATTGTGTGCATGACCACTTTAGTGGTACCCACCATGAACTAGAAACTGAGCAAGATCCTGGGGTTGGGGAGGGAGAGAGGAAACTCAGCACCTCTGTGCTTTGGGAGTGAGAAACTTATCAAGGGTGTTAGGAAAAGATACGGGTGCCTGAAATGAAGTAGTCAGGCTCCAGATGAAAGGTCAGGGGGCCCACAGGAGGCAGCAGCTCCAAGAAGAGGATAATTGGAAAGGAACCCGGACTGGAGGAAATGTGGAGGATGACAGGACAAGGTTCTCCAGGCAGGACTAAGTCCACAGCCTTAACAGGGCACACTGGAGTCAGGTGGCTCCCACAGGAGCAAGGACTGACACTAATGAGAAACTAAAACCAGTTTGCAATAAGACATCCATGCCAGAAATGAAGCTGACATGCTGGTGCAGCTGAGGGGGCAGAGGAGTAGGTGGTATGCTGGGTGCAGCTGAGAGGGCAGGGGAGTAGCTGGTATGCTGGGAGCAGCTGAGGGGGCAGGGGAGTAGCTGGTATGCTGGGTGCAGCTGAGGGGGCAGGGGAGTAGCTGGTATGTTGGGAGCAGCTGAGGAGGAGACAGGATCAGTCTGGTCCTAGCAACAATCTGAACTGGGAGAAGGATGCACTGGATCTTTCTGAATGCCACTACTGCGATCCAGGTGCCAGCCAAGGGTCGTCTCTGACCACACAGCCGGATGTCCAGCATTAGATGGTTACGTGAGGTTTATAGCAGCCAGTGTCTGATGGAAAGAAGCATGGAAGCAGTGCAGAAAGGAAAGTGAGGCTCAGCGAGTAACTTAGCTAGGGTTTCTCAACAATGCTGTGGAGATGTGTCCATCGGCTGGCAAAGCTCACACTCTCCCTGCTCTGTCATAATGCCCCATGGGCTGTGGCGGCAGAGATGCAAAGATGATGGCTCAGACTGGCATTTCCAGGGTGGAGTTGGCTAAACTGATAGCCGATCACTTGCGGAGGGAAGGAGAGGAGAGATCCAAGTAGATGCTAATTCTCCAATTAGACTCCTAGTGGAGTGAGCTCAGGGCTTACAAAGTTGTCTGGCTGAGTCCTTCATGCATCTCCTGTGGCTGCTATAACAAGTAACCACAAATTCAGTGGCCCAGAACAACACAACTTCATCTCACTGTTCCAAAATCAAGAGTTCAAAATGGTCTCACTAGCCAAAGTAAAGGTTGTGTTCCTTCCGGAGCTCTGGAAAAAGGATCCGTTTCCTGGCTTCATCCAAAAGCCCCCTGCATCTGGTGGCCCACGGCTTCTCTTCCTCTTCAAGGCCAGCAGCAAGCCATTTCCATCCCAAGCCATTTCAGCACTCATTCATCAGGACACATAGAACAATCCAGGACAATCTTGCCTCAATGTCCCTAGTTAACCCTGTAAGTGCCTTTATTCTTTTTTAAACTGCAGACAGGACTATGCACATTGAAGGGTCTTTCTCTTTTGTTATTTTTTCTGGTGTGTGCGTGTGCTCTGGTGCTTGTGTGGAGGTCAGAGGACAACTTCACAGAGCCGGTTTTCTCCTCCTGCCTCTGCAGGGGTTGCAGGGATTGGACTCCAGTTTCCAAGTTTGTGCCACAAGCGCTTTACCCTGTATCCATCTCGCTAACCTCCCTTTTTCCATGTGAGGGCACATAGTAACAGGTCGGGTATTAGAATGCCAGAGTCAGCACTTAGTAGGCAGAGGTAGGCATATGTCTATGAGTTCAAGGCCACCCTGGACTATGTAGATGTATTGCAGTGATTCTCAACCCATTTGGTGATGGAACAACTCTTTCCAAGGGGCTGCCTAAGACCATTGGAAAACTCAGATATTAGAAACAAAATTACAGTTATGATAGTGCAACGAAAATAATTTTGTGGTTGGGGTTCACCATCACATGAGGAATTGATTAAAGGGTTGAAGCAATAGGAAGGTTGAGAATCACTGATGTAGTGAGTTCCAAGCTTGCCAGAGCTACCTGGTAAGATCCTGTCTTAAAAAAAAAAAAAAAAAAAAGAGTCAACAGTCTGTGAAGAAGGGTTATTCTGTCAACCATAGATGCAAACCTCAAATACAAACTAAATTAGCGCTATGGAGAACCAGCCAACTGTGCAAACCCTCCCCACTCACAGAGACCAGAGTCTATGGCTGAGAGACGGTCAAGAAAGAGCTCCAATGCAGCTTTCTGTCTCTTTGTCTGCTTCTGGGTGCCTGAGAACAGGGGTCACTGTAAGGAAAGAGTGTATCTGTGTTTAGTCAACATCATTCGAGTCACTCCACACACCAGCAGGATATACACTCCACACAGACACTCTCCAGTCTATTTTGGCCTCTGGTTCCTCTGCCTGCTGTTAGAGAGAGGAAGCAGAATGGGCTCTGTGGAAGAGAGGGTGGGATATGGCGGGTGATGGTCTAAAACCAAGGAGAGCATTGGGGCTTCAAGTGTCACTCGGAAGTCATCAGATTGTAGGCATTAATTAGAACCACAGACATGGGGCATTCCCTCTGTGGAGGCAAGAAGGCTAGAGAGAGGGTCCTGGGTGTGCTGCTTCATGGTCAGATTAGAGTTACCTAGGAGACACACATCTGGGTATTCCTGTGAGGGTCTTTCCAGGGACTTGCATGAGGAGGGAAGACGATCCTGAATGTGGGTAGCACCATGCCATGGGGTGGGAGTCCGGGCTGAATATTTTCTTTTCATGAGAAAGCCAGCTGCACACCAGCATCCACCTCTGCTTGCTGATGGCAGATGTGATGTGACCGGTCACCTCATATTCCCACCATGATGGATGCAGCTCTTACACTGAGAACCAGAACTGAAAAGCAAAACCAAAACCCTGTTTCCTCTGTTAGGTTGCTTTCAGGCATTTTTGTCACAGCTAGGAGGAAAGCAACTCACACCCTCACACCCTACATTTCCCTAGTTCACGTAGAACCAGTGCACAATGGCTGGCAAGAGTTGGTTTGAGACATATCTGAGCTCCATGCTCACTGACAGCTTGATGTCAGTCACAGTGGGGACATTTACAGCACAGAGATTTGGCAGGTATTACTAAGATAGCAGGATGTTACCTAGATAGAAGTTTGTTAAGTATTTCCCAGCATGCCCACTGGATCCGGAGAGAGAGGAAAGGAAAAGGTCAGAGAGTGGAATTGTCAGAAAAGGAGGTGATCAGATAACAGAGGACACTGGAAATGTGACAAGAAATCAGAAGTGGCCCATGATGCAAGAGGCCTGGGGAGATGGAGTCTGGAGAGGCCTGGGCAGGGCCATGCAGGGTTTAATAGCAAACTGGACCTCAGAGGAAACAGATATGAGGATCCAAGTGGGTCATGGTGGCTGGAGTGACCAGGACCCTTATCTAATCCTTTGGACACTGGGTTTAGAGGAGCGGGATCCATATCCTCCCATTCTGTTTTCCAGGCTGTTTCTCCATCCAAGGTCCAGCATTGGTGAGGGGCCCAGAGAATGGATCAGTGACCATTCGATGTCGCTATAGCTCAAGGTGGCGAACGTACAACAAGTGGTGGTGCCGAGGAGCAGACTGGATCACCTGCAGGGTCCTCATTCGAACCAAGGGGTCAGAGGAAGAAAAGAAGAGTGGCCGGTTGTCCATCAGGGACAACTGGAGGGATAACTCACTCCTGGTTACCATGGAGATGCTTACGCAAAACGACACAGACACTTACTGGTGTGGTATTGAAAAATTTGGGACTGACCGTGGGACCAGAGTTAAAGTGACCGTTTACTCAGGTAAGCATTTTCCCAGGGGCACCACAAGGCTCTGGTGCTGGGGCTAAAAAGACTAAAAAGAAAGCCCTGGGAGTCTGGAAGACAGACAGACTGGGACAGGGTGGTGACAGAAGTAAGGAAGAATAGAAGCCCAACATTTTTTTTATCAATGCCAGCCCCTGAGGTCCCTCCAAGGAACCCAGCTGCCATGTGTCCTGACTGGCAGATTTTGGTGTGGGGCTGGGACTTAGACATCTCCCTCTGGGACCCATGGCCCAGCCCTGCTGCCCTGCTGTCCTGGAGTCACACAGCCCTGGGAACTCACAGGCTTCCACTGGAGTCTCAGATGCCTGGAGAAGTCCTCAGCACAGCAAGCTGAGAAGTTTCCAGTTTTCTAGAACTTGTACCCTTCAGTTGTTGTTACATGGGACTGTGGGTGTGAGCTAAGGCATTGTGGGGGAGGGCCCCTGTGTTGAAGCCCAGGCCTAGCCAATCCACAGTGATTCTGGCCCCTTTGGAGGGCTTGAACTTTCCGGGTGACCACTTCTGCTTTTTCTGACTACAGAAGAAGAAGCATGGGGTAAGGATAGAACCAGGCTTGCAAGTGTTTAGTAAATGCTTTAAAGAAAAATGGGCTTTGGCTATTAAAATCAGAATCAGAGTCACTCCTGGTTCTCCTGGCTTCTCTCTGCCTCAGCCTCAATGAGGGACTCCGGGATCTCTCATTGATGCCTGAAAAACAGCCCTTCCCACTTCCACCCAAGTAGTCATGCTCAAATCTTCCTCAGCCCAAAGGCCACGCCGGCTCCTGAGAAGGCATGGGATGACAGGGCTGAAACCAGTGAGAGAGATGTGGAAGTTGCCTCCTAGGGAAAGTGAGGTACAAAAAAGGTCACTCCCCAAAAAGATTTCCCCGGTGTGTGTGGGGGAGGGGAGCTGAGATTTGTGGAGACAGAAAGGGTTTGAATAAGATGTAAGCAGGGGCAGTGGTGGCACACACAGGAGGCAGAGGCAGGTGGATCTCTGTGAGTTCGAGGCCAGCCTGGTCTACAGAGCGAGTGCCAGGACAGCCTCCAAAGCAATACAGAGAAACCCTGTCTCGAAAAACAAAAACAAAACAAAAAGAAGAAGAAGAAGAAGAAGAAGAAGAAGAAGAAGAAGAAGAAGAAGAAGACAAAAACAAAAACAAAAAAACAAACAAAACAAACTAGTTTTGGGGACTAGAGAGATGGCTCAGAGGTAGAGCACTGCCTGTTCTTCCAAAGGTCTTGAGTTCAATTCCCAGCAACCACATGGTGGCTCACAACCATCTGTAATGAGATCTGGTGCCCTCTTCTGGCCTTCAGGCATACATGCAGGCAGAACATAAATAAATAAACTTAAAGTAAAAAACAACTTTTTTTTTTTGGGTTTTTTTTTTTTTTCGAGACAGGGTTTCTCTGTCTCTGTGTAGCTTTGGAGCCTATCCTGGCACTCGCTCTAGAGACCAGGCTGGTTTCGAACTCACAGAGCTACACTTGCCTA